GGCAAAGGCAGGTGGATCTCTATGAGTTTGAGTCCAGCCTGGTCTACAAGAGCTAGTTACAGGACAGCCTCCAAAGCCACAGGGAAACCCTGTCTCAAAAAACCAAAAACCAAAAACCAAACAACAACAAAAAAAGAATTACCCTTCTTCATATGGGACAGGTAGGGTGTTATTAGGGTGTTAGTTGGCAGGGGAGGAGGGGAGGCAGAGGGAACTGGGATTGACATGTAAAATAATCTTGTTTCTAATTTAAATGAAAAATGGAGACAAAGGAAAGAAATAATTACCCTTCTTAACAAATGTCTGGGTAGTTTCCATTTCTTCCATATATATATAATATAATATTTTAAATATTTATATTGCAAAAGGAAGTTAAAAACTGAAGGAGAGTGATGCTTAGAATGGGGCAACATAATATTCTGATACCAGAGAGTTCAAAAATATTAGATAATTTTTCTTTTATACTTATGGATTTTTTACTTGTATTGAAATATTTTTGTTAAATGATATATCTTCAGTATGGTTTACCCTCTCTATACTAATCCTAATTCCTCCAACACCCCCCTTATCTGGATCTGCACTTGTTCTGTCTCTCATTAGACAGCAAACAGCAAATATGGTATGATATAATGGAATGTACTTTAATATGATAAAACCAAACTAACAGATTGGAATTAGATGAAACATACAAACAGGAAAAGACCACAAAGAAAGGTAAAAGAAACAGTTCACACTTCAAGAACCTTATTAAAATTCTAAAATGGAGCCCATAGTATTTAAATACAAATGATAGGTAGGGCAAAATGAAGAAATGCAAAATTATATATAAATAACATAAAAATAAGAATAAATAATTTTAAAGGAGTAACATACTAGACATAACATTATGAAACAAAGAACTTCCAAACTTCCAAAGGTGCGACTGAGTTTATTATCTGTTGTTCATCTACTTTTGGGCTCCCAGCTTACCCTTAAAAGTGGTTTATTTTTCAACTGAGACTCTCTTGGAAGAAACTAAACCTTTATTTGCAAGTGGTTATCAATTGCAGATTGATTCTTGGTTAGTATTGTGGACATATATCAACTTCTTTCAGCCCTAGGGACTGATTTGTTGCAGAACCATACATGGAATATGCATGTTGCCTCAGTCTTAGTGAATTGATATGGACTTTTGGTCATGTTTATTTAGAGGTCTTTGTTTTCTTAGGGTTCTCCATTACCTTTGACCCTTACACTCTCTTACCTCCTTATGGCTGTGCACTGTCTAATAAGAAATAGTTTTGACATTCTAATAGGTGTATCCCCTGTCTGTTCCAGGATAAATATATTCCTAACTATAATCAAACTTTGTAATTATTGTAACTAATTTAAGAATGGGGATGATGTGTGAGATTGAGGGATGCATACAAGGGAGGAAAACAAGGAGTTCAATCTGGCTCTGCTTAATCTCTCATGAATAGTGCTAGAGTTCTGGGAATGACAATGGCTTTGAATATGAAGGATAGAAGGTAAAGTGAAGATCTGCTCCTTCCTACAGGCTGAGCTGATCTACTTGATGCACCATCAGGTTTGCCTGGCAGGTTTCCAGAGAAAGCCAGCTGTTCTTTGGTTGGGATAACAGAATGGTTCAGGAGGAAGGTTGGAGTTCTGTAAGATCAGCTGGAGATGGGGACAGAGTGGAGGTAAGTCTGTATCAAGTCGTTTGCTACAGTGATGTGGTGAAACTGGAATTCTACACTCACATATAGACACACACACACACACACACACACACACACACTCACACATAGACACACACACTCACCCATATTCACACACACATACACACACACACACACACATATATATGTATATATATATATATAATATATATATATGTGTATATATATATTCTAATTTTTAGATAATAATGAAGCACAGAGAACTTATTTTACAAAGTCAAGGTATTCTTCTAGGTATTTGAACAAAACTATGGTGGCATAAAATGTTTTCTCTTGAAAACCATTGCTTGTTTGATTTTCATATAGCTGCAATATTCCTGTGATATACTGTATATATTCTTCCTAGGATGTTTTGTCTACTGCTAATGTATTCATATTGAAAGTTTTAATTTTTCAGTTCCAAACATTGAAATTATTTCATTTATAGTACTTCTTATGAAGTAATGAAATATTTGATAAAAGCATTGTCCTTGGAGTAGTTCTATTTTCTTGTATTTTTATTTTTATATATTTATGTATTATCATATGTTGTCATTTATTTGGTTTATTTGATATACTTTAGTCCCATAGAACAATATTATAAGCAGAATTCACTTAGTCACATTTATTTAATTTTTAAATTGTTATAATTAACACAGCCTATTTGTTTTTGATGCATGTTTTCAGGATGAACTCAAATTTGATGTGGTCACAGCTTTTAGATCCCTGATCCTAATTTCTATGATTTCTGAGTGTTAGGATTATAGAGATATACTTTCATAAACCAGCTCTATTCTCTAATTTATAATCAAATACGATATTAAGAATAATTTTATTTCAATGCTGAGATTTGTGTTTTGTCTTATTGCCAGTAACACATGGCTTTAATTATGCCTGTTATAAAATGCCTCCAAACATACTGTGTTCCAATGAATTATTGTACTTTAACAACATACTTAGCATTCTTATTAGAATTTTAAAAAATTATATCTTAATTATGGTAAATCATACATTTAATAAGTTGTATTTTGAAATCCACAAATGTGATTATTCAAATCAAAAAATGAAAGTGTCTCTATTTTTATAATTTACATGGTGGGTGCCCATGATTTAAACAGTATCCTATCATTTGGTAGATCACTTTTTTACTCTAATGTGTTTAACTTTAATTATCCTTTTTCAAACCACAAATACTTTTCCACTTATATTTAAAAGAAAAACATGAAGGACTTTAAATATTTTTTTCAAAACTTTTAGCTGACAGAATGCAAATAATTTAGATAATCACAATTACCTATTTGCTTTAAAATTACAAAAAACTATTTCTCTAAATTAAAAGTTTATAAAATACAGATGACTATTTTGTTATTTGTTTTCTTATATTAGATTGGGTGCTAAAACTACAAAAGTAGCTGTAGGGCCTATGAGTATCATGTTGGATACTCTGAAGTAAACAGAAAAATCATACCTGCTTGCCACATGATCAACAAGTCAACTCGTCATCAGAAGACAAAATTAAATAGAGACTTAAAGTTCTTATAGAATATCTTCCTCTTTGTGTTGCTGACAGAAATTTAGCTTGAACATCTATCCAAGTATGTTCCCCAGGTCAGGACTTCTGGTATACATCCCTGACTATGACAAACTCTTTTGGTGTAAGTTCAGTACCTAAACAATGGTTGTTCAAATATGAAGACCTTTATAGACTATGACTTTGACATACTGTACTTTTCACTCTAAATCCATGTGTTAAGGTTTACTCATCTTTGTGATATAATAAGCGAATATATACCTAACATAAATATCTAGTTCGTAGATGAAACTTCTGATAAATGGGTAGTACTAGATAAGATCTTTAGGATGAAGTTCCCATGAATAAATTCTGATGGATTTATCCTAAGAGGTAAAGGAACTAGAAATACACATGGAGAGACAAATAGTCAGATCACATGCGTGCGCACGTACGCGCGCGCACACACACACACACACATACACACACACACACACCCTCTGTCAATCACAATATGGTTCTTTCAACCCACCTCATATTTCAACCAGGAGAAAGGTTATCATTAGGTGTGATTTAAGCTTGCACCTCAAGAATGATGTTTCAAAAGTCTTCACGTTATAAGGCTTCTAAATTAATACTACATGCAATAACATATACTCCACCAAAACATTTAAAGTTGTCTGTGTGATAACTTTACTGTACTTCAAGTTTGTTTCTTACAAAAACCAGCATTAACATTTCAAAATATATCAGTAAAATGTCACTGAAAATTTTTATTTTTTTCTGAAAAAATTTTGTTTATTATTTGCCGTATTCACCAGGGAAACAGACTATCTTAATTCTGAGGCCAATGTGAGCCACATTGTGACCCATATAGACTTCAAAGCAACAACAACAAAAAATCCCACAAAGTTACTACAGACATACCAAAAAAATCATTTCAACTAAAAACTATGAGAAAGGGCTAGCAATGTCATTGTTTTGGTTTTTCTAGTCAGGGCTTCTTTGTATAGCCCTAGCTGTCCTAGAACTCACTCTGTGAGCAGGCTGGCCATACACTCAGAGATCTACCTGCCCCTACCTACCTCCCAAGTGCAGTGTTAAAGGTATGTGCCACCACTGCCAGGCTGCAATGTCCTTTTCTGAATTGCAATATTATCTAGTACTCAAACTGGGCTTCTTTTGTGTTGTAGGACCTAACAAACTATATGTTCAGCACCATAATCAAGGCAGAGCTGGCTGAGCACATGCAAAGCCCCCATGTTTTAGTCATAGGGACCACATAAACTGGGTATGGTGGTCCATGCATGGAATCTGAGCACCTGGGACACAGGCAAATTAACAGTTCTAGTCCACCCTGGGCTACATAAAACTCTGTGTGAGAGGAGAAGCACTAATATAATATCTGCTCACAAGAGTATGTAAGAATCACTCTTTAATGCCATAAAAACCTCACTACCCCTGCTCTCTGGTCTTCTAAGAAAAATAAATGATGAGCAGTCTCTGTCCAAGCTTCTAGAAACTCAGAATTATTCTCCAGACAAACAGTCTTCCCAGTGACTCAGAAGGACATACTGTAAACAGCTCTTCAGTCTCAGGAACAGTAAAATAATTGTAAATGTAGAAAACAAAATGGAACATTTATTATTAGGTTTTAACTCAAAGCAATACTAACTAGATAGGGTAAGAAATTAAATATAAACACAATTTCTGCCCTAGCCCTATTTATGCAAGTCAGTATAACAAAATGATGGACTCGTGTAGAGACTACCTTGGCAACAGAGGAACTATCAACAACGTCTCGGATCTGGACTCCTACTTCCTCTTCGGCCACATCTCCTCTTGCCCTTTGGTGGGCCCGGAACAAAACACCAGTCGATGCTAATTGGCTGTCTCATCAAATATTGACCATTGAGTCCCTCCATGGCAGCCTGAGCCTCTTTGTATGTTTCATACTCAACTAGAATATACCCCTTCAAGTATCCTATATGCCTGTCCAAGTTAAGGTGGATGTTTTTTATTTCTCCATATTCAGCAAATTTGTCATGGATATCTTCTTCAGTGGCTTCTTCCTGGACTCCAGTGACAAATAGAATCCAACCTTCAACAGAGGGTTGTGTTCTAGGTTCATTGCCATCCTGCTCCACGCTGTCATAATCCTCTCGCATCCGTGCTCGGGACACCTCTTTGGAGCCAAAGCCACGGCGCTTCATTTTCTTCGCTTTTCCTTTTAGTTTATGGATGCTCTTGTCCCCATTCTCATCGATGGCGAAATCCTTTACCCCGGCCGCGCGAAGATCCAGCATGTCTGCCATCTTGCTTCTCCCCATCACTGAAAGTTTTACTGGTAATTGTTGCCAAACATTAGATAATGATCAGACAAACAATTGTTTATATATGTGTGTGTTAAATTATTAAAATAAATAAAGGACTGAGGATTATTTTTCTGCATTCGTAATATATACAGAGTCTTCCAGTATTTTGAATGCTAACAATTGCTGTAAAGCTCCCAGTTGAGTACCATCCTGTCAAATGTCATAGGTAGGCAATATTTTCAACAATATGGTGTTAGCATCAAGTAGTGGAAAATATCTTTAAAAAATTTGCTATAGTCTATAATGTTTGAGCTTTGTAAATGTAATTCCGTTAATACCTCAAAAATATATAGTCCTCCATGTCTATGAGAGCTAGACCTAAGACAGAATAACTCTCAACACTATGTAGCCAGTCTTCTGAAGGGAAGTTTTCTGACCAATCTCAACTGAAATGCTTAGAGTCTGCCCAAATTATGTTGTGTCTTCAGCAGTAGGAACTTAAATTCAAAACTTCAGTCAATCACAGGCAACACTTTATCACTCAGGAAATCTACTGAGATCTTGTAGAGTTAACATCTTCTTTCACCAATGTATTAATTTCTTCTTCAATGCCTTAAAATCCTTCTTCCATATCCTGTATTCTGTTGTTGATGCTTTCCTCTGAGATGCTTGTTCAAATCCCTAAATATTTACTCTCTAGATTTCTCTCACTTTCTGTTTTGTTCATTCATTCTGTTTCACCTCTCAGGTCTCAAGTACTTTTATTCATTTCCTTTCACTATTTGTGTTTTTAAGATTTCTTTAAGGGAAATTTCATTAATTTATTCAAGGAACTTTATCATTGATAAAGGCTATTTTGCTGCCTTTGTCTTGTGCTTCAGCTAAGTTACAATACTCAGTGCTTTCTATGGTAGAATTGCTGAGCACTAGTGTCAACATATTGTGCTGGCTGCTATTGATTGTGTTTTTACACTGTCATTTAGGCATCTATGTTTGTAAAGATTACAGTGCTGGGTACTAGTACCTGGTCTTGTCTAAGCTGTGTAGGTGTTTTGTTCCTGGTTTCTGTTACTCTTTCTGATTCTGAGTAGAGTGGAGTACTTGGAAGGAAATTGTTCCGGTGCCCTGATGAGTTTGGCCACTGGGCATTCAGGTAAAATGTGTTCCCAGGCATTGGGAGCTGAGAGTTAGAAATGGGGATAGGTTGGGTTGGCTTCTTCTACAGAAGGAAGAAAAGCAGGGTAATTTATTAGGATTTATATAATCCCCTTCGAATGGGAGCGGATAATGAGCACAGGCCACAACAGGTAGTCTTAACAGGTAGTCTCGGGATGACATGGGGGGGGGTGGAATATCAACGAGAAATGTGAGAATGAAGATCAAAAGCTATCCTACTTGATTAAGCTTGCTTGGCGCGTTTCCAGGAAATGCCTGCTGCTGCTAGTTGCTGTGATAAAAGGTGAATGTGTTGAGTGTTAAAAGTGGGAGGAGAAGATATGCCAATCTGCTGAAGTTTGGATGAGGGGATTAAAAAGTAAAGTTCTGTGATTAGGCTACCTCTTCCCTGTTTCCACTGCCTGCCTGTCCTTTCAGGATCTAGAATAACAGCATGAGAAAGTTGGAGGAGATATCCTGAATGATAAACTGGAGATGAGTGCAAAGAGGAGGGGGCAGCTATAGCAGGTGATCTGCCATAGAACTGTAGGTGAGTCAAGGGTATTGTATTCAGAGGATAGGAAGAAGTGAGGATCTGCAGTTGAGCAACCTTCTTTCTAGGCTGGAGAGGACTGCCGGCTCAAGTTTCAGAGTAGGACAAAGCAAGGAGTAGTTGGAAGGATGGTTAAATAGGGAAGATCTATGTGATTCATTTAAGAAGGATTCTTGGTAGAATAGAAAGTTTCAGATGGTGATCTGCTGAAGAATTTAGGATAAGACTGAGATTTGGAGGAAAGAAGAGAGGTGTGAAGATCAGCAAATGGGCAAGGTCAGTGAGTCCTATGGTGACTAGTGAATGTCTTCTGGTACTAGGGGTTGGGTTAATGCTAACATTAAAAAACAATCAAAACAAATAAACAAACAAAAAATATCATCATGTTTTTTATCCTGCATTGTAAAACCTAAATGGAACATATGTAAGAAAATGAATTGTGATACAGTGGGAAAGGAAGATAGCAAGGTATCTTTATTTGCAGACAACTTAATGTTACATACAAAATCTTAATAATTCCATTTAAATTGTCTGCCTAAACTCATAAGTGCTTTCTCTACCTCCTAAGATAAATATTCATTCTTCCCAAATAAATGTAAAATTTCACCATAATTCTGGACAAAGCCCTAAGAGACTCCTTTGTCTAATTTGGCTAGATGAGTCTATGAGAAAAAGAAGTGGGACAAATAGACACTGGATAATTGTGAAGAAGAAAAGAATGAACAGACTGATCATATTATAACACTTAATATGTAATCTTAAAAGTATCTAAATACCATGTAGGAACAGATGTAATCTTAAAATATGCTAAGGGAAGGAAATAGAAACTCAAATGTAGTTACTTAGTTACTCGTTCATGGAATTTATACTCTATACACTTATCACTGTAGACAGTAGGTAGAAGATTAACTAAATTAAACAGGTGCATATCCATCTTGAAACTATATTCCCTTTCATTCCACATATGGGAATTAATTATATTTAGATTAAATATATAATTGTATAAAAGGGGGTTGGAATCTTTTGTAGCTTTAGAAGAACAAATATGTATTATGACTGATTTAAATGAACACCAACAGAAAAATCCTGGAAAGAGAAAGACCAAAACTTCTCTGAGTTTAATGACACCATGATGGAATTTGGAAATCACAAAAAAATTAAAATAAAAATACAGAAATGTTTCTCATTATTCAAAATGTAACTATGTCAGTATGAAAAGACAAATATGCCTGCTCTGAGTATGCATGTGTTTGGGGAGACTTGGGGTTGAGATAGAGACAGAGACAGACAGACACAGTCATATACTCAGAGATGACCTAGCTTTTACTGAATTCTAGTGTTTCTAAGAACTTTCTTACTGAGTTACATCATGAGAAAATAAATTAGGAAATGTATCTGTATATTAAGATCTTCATTAATGATCCCATTATCATCATTAATCTGTGTACTATATATATGATGTGTGTTTGGGTTCAGGTATGTGGGTTCCTCAGCATGCATTTGGAAGTCAGAAGATGACCTTACCTATTAGTGCCCTTTCTTCTCAACTTTTTAATATAGGATCATGTTATGGTTCATCACTGTATAAGCCAGGGTGTCTGCCCCATGGTTTCTTGGGTGTGCTCCTGTTTCTGCCTCTCATCTTGCAGCAGAAGCACTGGGATTAAAAGTGTGTGCCACTCCACCAAGTTCTTTGTGAATTCTCTGGATCTGAGCTCAGGTCCTTACATTTTATTGTAAGCACTTTATTTCCTGAGCTATCTCCTCAACACAGCAGCAATGATTCTACATTTTCTTCATAGATGAAAAATTCAAACAGATAGTAATTAAAAGGAAAATCTTAATGGTTGAATTTGAAGTATTCACTATCATTATAGCCACACCAATAACAAAATTCATCTTGTAACCATGACAAGTGATGGTAGAAAAAGAGAACGCCTACAGCATAAATGTCTGTGGATCCCTTAGTCAATCTATTCCCTGTTCAAAATTTCCTTACAAATGAAGTATAGTGACATTATAATTCCCATAGACACTGGTACATTTTCTTCAAACAAAATTGATGAATAAGGAATTCTCCAAAAAAATGGATTATATATCAAGACTGATAAACTTTTATCAAATGCCTATCACACAATAGAATATAAATTTAAACCATTATGAGATACAAATAATTTCACATCTACCATGCCAGTGATATACTGGCATAGGTAGTAAATCAATAATATCAAAATACAAACGTATTCAAAATTAGTACTCTATTGTAAGATTTTTCCATAATGAGTAAAAGCTGAGAATGAAAATCCTAAAGAAGAAAAAAAATATTTTTGTTCATGGTTGCCATGGTTTTAGTCAATGTTTGGTTATTCCAATGAAGGGCTTACAAGAAAGGGTAAATACTGAGAATGGAGTTTTGCATCTGCCATGGGTAGGGGAGAGATGCTCCTTCTTACACTTTGCCTCTCGCCACCTGTGAAAGACAAGGGAGCTCACCACACCCTCACCCACTTGTCATCTGTAGCAGTTAGAAAAGTAGGTCCTGTTCCTCCCATGGACAACACAGTTGAGCTTGTCACCGTTGGCAAAGGAGAAGTCATATATCCCTGAGTGGGAGTGGGATAGAAGGCCATATTCCCCCTTTTCTGCCATGTGGTGGGGGGTGAGGGAAAATGCCCCCTTGCCTCTATCATTTGAGGTGGGCAAAGAAGCTGACCTTCTCTCTTACCAGCTGTAGCACTTGGGAAAATGTTACCTGCCACTCAGCAGAATAGCACAATAGAGCTGACCCCGTTGTTAGAGGTCTGGGTGAGCCATCCTCAAAGAGCTGAGCATGAGAGAGCTGTCTCCAATACTCATTTGTCCTGTGGTTGGACAGGGAGGGTGAAAATGCAATGACCCTTCCCCGCCCATCAACACCTGAGGCATATAAGAGAGTTGGCCCGAGGTAATAAGTTCTGGAGAGCAGTTCCTGCCCCACACCAGCATCAACACTCAAGAGAGCAGGCTCTACACCTTACCCAGGCAGCACAATAGAGCCAACCCAGTTGGCAGAGTTGTGGATAAGTCATCCCCGAAGTTGTGAGTTTAGAAGAGCTGTATCCACTAAGCGTCTATCATGTGGTTGTGAGGGCAAGGGGTAGATACTCTCCCCTCCTTCACCCTTACACCTGTAGTGGAACAGGGAACTGACCCTCCCTCTCACCACCTGTAACACTAGAAAAAGTAGACCCTAAACCACACCTGAGCAGCACAATATTGACCCTATTGGCAGAGCTGTGGGTGAGCCAGCCCA